CTAAAAGTGAATCCGAGGAGATTAATCATTAGCGGAGAATATGAAGACGTAGCCGCGATGACGTTACAACAAGAAAACGATGATGCTGTTTTGATGACTACAGTTGAAGACCTAGAATTCGAGCATTTGGTACATGCTCGAGAGGAACCAATAAATCTCGATTTCGAAATTGCAGATGCAGAACCGAATGACGAATTCCTATGTAATTTATCGTCTTCCGATGATGATGAAGACGATGAAGAAACTTATTAATTTATTTGAGCCAATATGTAATTATATATTATTGAAATATTAATCTAATTTGGTGTGTATTTTTCATAAAAAAAATTATATTTAGCTACTAATTTAAATTTTGTTGATCAAAATAAAAAATAAACTACTAACTAAAAATCACCTAAACCCAAAATTTTTAATTAGCCCACCTAAGCCCAATAATTAAAATTAAGCCCCTAAAGCCCATTTTAATAAAAACCCTAATCTACTCTCTAACTCTCTCTCCGTCTCTCGTTATCTCCTAAGCTCAACTCTGCCTCCTCTCTACCTCTCACGATATCTCACTCTAATCACCCAGAAATTCTCAAAACCTACTGTCGATCTATCTCAGAGATGAGTGGGAAGAGGAAGCGCCATGTCGTGGCACCGAATTCATCGATCAATAGAACACCAAGACCATTACCGCCCCAGTACGATTTTGTCTCTAAGGCGGCGGCGGCAGCGTCGAATCCTCCACCGGTGGTTCTCCCCAACAACAATCCAGCACCGACGGTTAGGGATTATCCACCTCCAAGACAACTATTTTCATCCTCCACGTTCCCACCTTCTGGATTTGCTCAGCCTCAAACTCAAGTGCCTCTTTCTTCTACCGGTGAAGATACTTCAAATCCTAAACCTCGGCAAAGACAGTCTTCATCTCCTCCACTCGAAGAATCTCCACCATTTCATGGAGCTCCATCTCCTCACAGTTCTCAAGCACAAAATGGTTATGAAGACCCAGAAGAACTTTCTGATTTCGAAGCTCCAGTTGAAGCTAATCTCTTTGAGGACGTGATGGATGTAATAAACCGGATGCTAGCCCAACCAGGCCGAGAGGAGGTCACAACGGTCCTGTCTCCCAAACTCGAGCCTGGTACAACTTGGTATGGTTTCTCTGATTTTGTGTTTCTTTTTTTTTTTCTGTCTGTTGTTGAAATTTTGATTGAGTTTGTGTTTTGGTGATTTTGTATCTTCTCTTTGCCTGTTTGAGTTAATAGATTATCAGGGTCGTGAACTTTTGGGATATACATGGTGTTCCAAATGAGTTTGCTATTCGTTTTTTTTATTGCTCAGTGCTCAGAAACACTCTTTGATGTTTACTGTCTTTGATGTTTACTGTCTTTATCGAACAATATAATAGATTTAATAAACCCAAAGATAATATAGTTTATAGGTGTCTAGATTTTTGTTATTTTTCTAATTGAGATTTCTAAATTATTTCAATGCCATTATTACGTTTTAAAATTATATATATAAACATGATAAGATTTGAAATAAGAAAGTGAAGTGTTGACCCGTAAGTTGAGTTTTGGTTTTGTTTTAGTTTCTCTTGTATTTTCTGATTGGTTTTGTTTGAGTTTCTCTGGTTTTTCCTCTTGTGTTGTTTGGTTATGACAACTCCAGCTTGACCCGTAAGATAACCAAGATTTTCACCAAGAAGTTTAATAAGCCATTCTATAGCTGGTCATGTGTGCCTAGAGACATACAAGAAGGGTACTTCCTTGAATTTGCGGTAACCTTCTCTGTTTATATTTATTTATGTTGTGATGATTATTATTATTACATAGCTTATTTTGTTAGTTACATTTTGTTTATAGTTATTTCTGTCCTTTACATTTTGTTTATAGTTATTTAGTTTGAAATGTTCTTTTGTGATGATAACACATATTTTCTTTGTTGTTTTGTAGAAAACACACACTTGGAATCCCATGTTAACCGGTCTTGTTCAAGAACACTTTGAATCCATTTGTCAGCTTCGAATAAAAGGTATGGTCAGTGGTGTAAGGACCTCTCGAGAGCAACCAAATTGGATAAGAGATACACTCTGGAAAGAGATGACTGGTTTTTGGGACACTGAGGCAGCAGTAGCAAAGAGCCGAAAGCATCAAAAGCTCGAAGGTCTGAACGTAATGGTCTTGGTATGTACAAGAATAACACAGGGCAGAAGTCCTATATGCAAATCGAACAGGAGCTGGTGAGTCTCATTTTCTTTGTCTCTTTTTCTCTAACACTTCACTGATGTATGTCTTTCATCCATTTAATTTCAGATAAAAGAGTTGGGAAGACCTGTGAGTTTTGGTGAAGTATTTATCAAGGCTCACACAAAATCAGATGGAACCTATGTCGACTTCAAAGCAAAAAAGGTTGCTGAGGTTTACAAAAAGAAAAAGGAAGAGAAGTTGACTAACCTTGAGAAGGATAACACTGAAATTTCAGATGATGATCATTCAATGCTATCAGTAGAAGAGGACAATGAGCTGTTTATTCAGGTAGTGTTTTTAAATAAAAATTATTTTTAAGGCTTATGTTTTTACATTGAGAGTTTAGATAATTTTTTATAGCTTGGAAATTGATTTTTAGTGACTGTCTCATTATTTTCTTTTTTGTAGTCAACCTTCTGCAATGATAGAGGAGACCTTTTTGGTCTTGGAAGTCTGAAGAATAAGCTCAAGAGAAAACCAAATGACCCAAGCAGCTCCTCTTCTTTCATTGACATGCAAAAAAAGATTGAAGAAGCTGAACGCAAAATAGAGGAACAAGCAGCCCTTATGGCCAAGAAAGAGGAAGAGCATGCTCGTGAACAAGCTGCTAACAAAGCTAAGATGGCTGAGTTCAACCTTATGAATAAGTTTATGCGTTTGACCAACTCGAATTACCTTGCTTTCATTGCCAAAGAAGCATCATCTCCAACTCCTCCTGATCAGTAAAAGCTACTTGTGTTGTAGTAGCTTCTCATAACTTAACTATCTTTTGGTATTTAGAACATAAAACAACTCAAGTGTTGGAGTTGTTTTATCTTTTGGTATTTAGAACATAAAACAACTCAAGTGTTGGAGTTGTTTTATGATCTTATGTATACTTTTGGTATCTAGGATTAAAAAAAACATATTTATCTACTTTCAGTTTCTTCATTTAGTATTTGTAAAACAACTAATCTCACAAATAGAAACCCAAATGAACCAAAATATATAAATACCAAATCCCAAATCTGTGCTCGTTTTTGTTCAAAAACAGTAGTTCCATAGTCACTAATCAGTCCTTAAATTTGTTGCTAATCAGTTGCAAAATCGTGGGTAAATCGGTCATTATTTAGTCACTATTCAGTCGCTAAATTTCCCGACTATTTAGCAACTACGTATACTTAGTCGCTAAATACGTCACTAAAATAGTCGTTCGTCGGTCGTTAATTTAGCGACTACTTAGCGACTACTTAGCGACTATTGAACGACTGATATTTCGGTCGCTAATCAGTCGCTAAATACCAACCGATCTACGACTAATTTATTTACCGACGAAGACTATAACGACTACCTAAATCAGTCGCTAATAAGTCGCTAATCTTGATTTAGCGACTGATTACCTACTAATCTTGCAGTAGCAAAAAACCTGTTTTCTTGTAGTGGGGGTTCGTCTAAAGCTAAGGACTTTGGGGATTGAGAGATTGATGAGGAGAAGAGGATGGCTGCTAAGGCGTCTCGTGAAGGTAGTCACTTTAAGGGTTTGTTGTTGTCATCGATGTGGAGAGATGATGATCGACAGATGTGGTAGGTTCTGAAGGAGAAGGTAAGGAGGGTTTTGTGGTTTTGGGAGTGGGGGAAGAGATTATTATGTTGGATCCGAAGAATAGTGAGGAAGAACGTAAGGAGGTTAAAGCATGTACTTTGGAAAAGTGACTTCCTTCTCATTAGAAAGCAAAGGTAGCAATATGATTCTACTTGCATCTTATGTTTTCAAGAACGACTTGAGATAAAGACTACTCCACACCAATAGACTCAAATTTTTTTATCCCTTGATTACTTTTTTGGGCAGGGTGGTCGGAGATAAACATGTGCCTTGGGCATGTGAAGAGTTCATAAAATTTCATGCGAAAGTACTGATCAAAACTAAAATGATCTGGTAATAATCTTCTGTCAACTCATCATATGATGCCAAAATGTAGTATCAGAGTTTTTGATTAAATTTGTTGATACCTCTGAGCTGGCAGTGGAAAATATTTACACTTGATATACTGTGGTCACACGGTCTGATAACCACAGAGACCATGGATAAATGCAGTATCATCCTCCAAAACGAACAGGAAAAAGAACCAGTAGAAGAGGATGCAGATGCGGCAAGAGCTGCACATGCGGCAGCAGCAGCCTTAAAATAGTATGGTAATGGAAACAAGCCAAAGCCTATGGAGCTTGATGAAGAAGAACATTAGCCATGGTGAGTGTGGGAGATCTTCATTTCTGAACTGAGAGATCATAACTATTTTTAAAATTCCCGTACTAAGATACATATGCCTATAGTCTCGCCTTTTCCACTTCCCTTTTGTTTTTTTTTAATTCTTGGTTTCTTAAGTCTTCGAGTTCTTTATGATTTTTTAGGTGATTGCTAACTCGGTTGCTAAGTTGAATTCAGCAGAAGTACAAAAGCTTTTGAATTCCCTTCTACCAATACTACAATCAAGGTGATAGTTGAAGTATGTTCTGTTTGTGTGTGTGTGTATCTGCTCAAGAGGTGATTTTAAATAATTTATTATTGCTTTGCAGGGGTGCAATATGAGCTTGTGTGATTCCATGGCTTAAGTGTCTGTTACTTACTCATTCCTGTGGGATTATGTCCCAGGAGTCATCATTGCTTGCTTTAAACTCCATATATCAGGTTATTTTATGACTGTGCTTATTGTGGCGGCTCTGTTAGTAACACAGAAAGTTTTAGGTAGATGATGATTGGTATGTGTGTTTGATTGTTTGTGTGTGTAGCTCATCGAATCACGGATATCAACGTTTCACACTGCTGTACAAGTTTCTAGCAAATTGGATCTGGTATGTGTTGTATTGTATTACCCTGAAAAAAGGATTTGGATTTCATTTTGTAGCCTAGGGTAAGCATTATATTTGGTGTTTGATTCCATTGATCACTTCTGTACTGAAATAACGCAATGGAAGTTTTGATGTCGTTTTGCATGGATAACACTGACATTTGGACTTACTGATTCGTCATTGGTTGTGATTATGGTAGATTGCGGACTGACTTGACTGAAGAAGAAGAAGAAGATGAAGGTCCTGTGATTTATGAGGACAAGGACAGTGATGAAGAAGGAGGAGTAGAGGAAGCAATGGAGACAGATGAAGAGGCTGACGAATCAGAGGATGAAGCAGCTGATGGTGTCAACGGTTTTGATGGTTTTGACATCCCACATCCGGAGTTATAAGTGTCCTTGGGCAATATATATGTGTATGGGAAATCCTCCACTCTTAAGCTAGCTTTTGGGTGTGAGTTAGGCCCATCACTAATATGGTATCAGAGCCCATGGTTTAGCCCAGCATTATGATTTCCCACATAAACAGTTTCCTACCTATGTAGCCTGTAAAAGTGGCCCATATGCTATGGTATTTCCGAGATGTTGGGTTTGGGCTGTTTTCCTGTTGACCGTTTCCCACCCACATCTCGAGAGGGGCTATTAACATCCCACATCCGGAGTTATAAGTGTCCTTGGGCAATATATATGTGTATGGGCAATCTTCCACTCTTAAGCTAGATTTTGGGTGTGAGTTAGGCTCATCACTACTTTTGGGTGTGAGTTAGGCCCATCACTAATGTGGTATCAGAGCCCATGGTTTAGCCCAGCATTATGATTTCCCACATAAACAGTTTCCTACCTATGTAGCCTGTAAAAATAGCCCATATGCTGTGGTATTTCCGAGATGTTGGGTTTGGGCTGTTTCCCTGTGGACCGTTTCCCACCCACATTTCGAGAGGGGCTATTAACATCCCACATCGGGAGTTATAAGTGTCCTTGGGCAATATATATGTGTATGGGCAATCCTCCACTCTTAAGCTAGCTTTTGGGTGTGAGTTAGGCCCATCACTAATATGAACGATTGAGAAGACTTCCTGAAAACGAAAAGGTAAAGGGTTTTATTTGTATGAGGCTGGTTGATTATTAGATTCTAAAAGGTACAATCTCACGTCAAGAAGTCTCGGCATGAAGTTTGTAATACGCAATGGTTGTATCAATTAGACTGTCTTGAAAAAGAGTTTATTTTTCACTATGAAAAACTTTGACGCCAATATGAAAAAGTGAAGCATGGTTTGGTAAACGATGGATCATAAAAGCAAAAATCCTTCATGAAAAATGGAACACCATTGAATATATATGTTCTTTTGTCACAAAGATAGAGGATAACATTTAACTATTATTATTGATATAAGAGCATCCGTAATGGCGGATCCTTGGGAAGAATTCTTAGGAAAAAAGAAAAAGGGGTATTTGAGATTATATAAAGATATTTTAGATTTTTTCTTTAAAAAAAAATTGACCACTCACGGACCGCCACGTGGGCAGTGGAGCCCGCGAATAGTGTAAAGATCAATCCTTACATAAGGATTTTAAGGATAAAATCCTTAAATGTTCATGAAACCCATTAATTATAAAATTAATATTTTCCTAAGGATTCCCCTTAAGAATCCGCCATTGCGAATGGTTTAAACTTGCTCAATGTTAACAAAGTTTACAAATATACGTGTGAGATAGTTAAACTTACACATCTTAAAATGAGTTTTATTTAACTTTATTTATGTTTTATGTTAACTTAAATTATAAGATATACTTGAATTTAGTCATATACGCAGATGTGCATACTTTAAAACAATACATACAATGACACATATATTCACATATATATAAGGATATCATTTGAAATTTATATTTCATAATAAATAAATTTTCTTTAGAATCTTTAAATGGATAATATTACTCTGTGTATTAAAGACGAGCCATTTGACATTTTTGACACATTTAAAAAATAATTGAAATTAGATCCTGATCCGCGCATAAAAATATATAATTTTTTTTTAACAAAATTTGATTTACGAAATAAATATATTTTAACATTTTCGATAAGTAAAGTTTAAACATTTTAAATTTGGTGTATTTTATTTGTATAAGAGTTATTTGATTTCAACTTAGACTAAATATAATCCCGCATTAATAATTATATGTTTTTAAGAATTAAAACAATTTTTAAAAAAAATTCAAATAAGATTTATTAAGTTTAACAGAATATATTTTTTATTTATGAAAATATAAACAAACAAATCCCTTTAATTTAATAAATTTTATATTAAATGAATTGAGGTTTTAGTCAAATCAGTGAAAGGAGATATATAAAAAATATTAAAAATGTAGTACCTACTGTTTTATATCATTTCGATACAAAATTAATTATTGTATTGTTGAAAAGACATTTAGTAATATTATAGGAATATTGATTAATTTGGTTGATTTTAACTATAAAATAATTGGATGTATTTAATATAAAGACTTACAAAAAAAAAGATCGTTGAGAACTATTTTTCTTTAATAAGAGTGATGCATTTATGTTTTATTATTACGACTGTTTTCCCAACAATATTTGAGAAAAAACAAATATTAATAAGATCAATGCAAGTTGTAATTAATATTAAGCTTGAAATAAGTATGAATTACATTGAAATTTAAAGTGAGAGTCTTTGTGTAGCCAAAAAAAATATTTAAATGACAATATTTATAGAACAAAAAAGAGCAATAGTTTCAAGTAGTAATTTTCTCAAGTACAAAATTAGTTTCTATCTATAAAATTTTTTAACATTGTCATATTATATTTCTTATATAATAATTGGAACACAAATTATATACATAATTAAAAATATTATAAAAGTTTAAGGGGAAAATCACTATAAAAAACCAGTACTACATCATCTCTCTTAAGAGGTAAGCAAAGTTTCAACAAAAACAAAAACAACTCCAACCTACTTTTGTTATCTTTATTGTTTTAGTTGTGTTATTATAATATTTTTTTGTTTAATAAGTGTAAAATAATTTTAAAATAATTTTAAAATAGTTATTACTTTGTCTGTTTATTAAAACAACAAATGATATTAAGTTAAATAACAGTTATTATTAAATTAATATTACATAACATACATATAATTTTAAAATATATTTTAAAAAAATTTAAAGTAAATAATCCGCGCGTAGCGCGGAAAAAATTCTAGTATATATAATAATTGTTAATATTTATAAAGACACATGTTTTTTTAATTCTTGCATATGTTATTATAATTAATGTGCAAGAAAATCATGTTATTCAAAGTTGTTAAAAAGAATTTATTCGTAATATATAACAAATTACTGTATATTATCACTAAATTTAAATATTTTTATTTTATTTATTAATATTATGATAGTGCGTAAAGTTAGTAAATTATATATAATGCTAAACATATCATTAAGCTAAATTACCATATATATATATTAGTATAACTAATTTATTAATTATTATTCTTAATAAGTTAGGTTGTGTTTTGTTTATGATACAAAATGATAATGACTGTTTATGTTAATTTCAGTTTGATTACATGTATCCAAATTAAAAATTATGTATGGCTGTTCCTGTTCTTTTCAATTTATTTACATGATTTAAAATTAGAAATTATGTATAAATTCAAATTTTTTTTGAAAATAAATTTATGTATATTAAAAAAAAATACTTAAATAACACATATGTAAATGTATATAATAATATTTATTAAGGAAAATAATATAAATTATTTTAAATGTTAATTTGTAAGTATATTTGTATAACCAAAATTTTTATTACCTGATAATTTAAGTTAAAATAATTATTTATAAATTAGAAGTACAATCGATTTGTGTTTAATTAATTTTAATAGATATATTTATGGACTATTTAATATTATGTTAATATATTTAGTCTAAATAATAAGAATTTAGATTTTTAGGACTATTCATTAATATATTTTATAATTATACTTATGTGTCACGCTTTCCAAGACAACAAAACGTTACGTCTCATTTATATTCTGAGGTTTTTAACTGATTTGGATTTTTTTGTTTTTTCGTTTATGGGCGTATGTTATGCTAAATTGCTCAGTTCGATAGCGAGCAAATTTATTCCTCTCATCGGGAAATTATGTGTAACATCTTGAATTCTGATATACAGAAAGACTTAAGAGGATTGATTTAGTTATCTATGTCATCAAAGTGCACTTACCTTTTCGGGAGCACATCCAGAGAGAACTCCAGAGTTGCGTGCTAGAGAATGGGTGACCTATCGGGAAGTGGTTTGTGATACCGTGTAAGTGAGGCCAAAGCACGGAGAAGGGTCATGTGGTGATTACATGGTCAGTAAAAAAAAGTTGCTTTAGTCTAGTGGTTGATGTGTTATTGGGGCCCACGGGCCGAGAGAGTATCATAGCTGGTTAGCTGGTTAGCCATCTCAGTTCTGACCTGAGAGGCGTGGACGGTCGGGGCGTTACAAGTGGTATCATAGCTGGTTAGCCATCTAAGTTCTGACCTGAGAGGCGTCTTGAGACCTGTTGTGGGGCGCAACGAGGACGTTGCCTTATTTGAGAGGGGGTGAATTGTAACATCCTAAATTTTGATATACAGAAGGGCTTAAGAGGATTGATTTGGCTACCTATGTCACCAAAGTGCACTTACCTTTTCGGGAGCACATTCAGAGAGAACTCCAGAGTTAAGCGTGCTTGAACTGGAGTAGTCAAAAGATGGGTGACCTATTGGGAAGTGGTTTGTGATATCGTGTAAGTGAGGCCAAAGCACGGAGAAGGGTCATGTGGTGATTGCAGGGTCAGTAAACATGATTCTAGAGCTTTGAAAAATTAACAGACCGGCCGTTGGAACGGGAAGGGGCCCATGGGCCGAGAGAGCAGGTGTGGGTGACCCATTAGCTGTGGACAGTCGGAGCGTTACATTCAAATGGATAATCTCAGTAGATTGACACAGTTTGTTTGTCAATTCAAATGGATCATCTAGATGAATCATCTCAGTAGACGTATGTTTGTTTCTTTATTTCCATTTCCATCTAGATGAGTTTAAAAAAACAAATTACTAATATACCCTTATTTAGATTTAATCATATTTTTTTTTTTCATTATAATAATTTTTATTAATTTTTTAAATATAACTATTTTAAAATATGATTTTGGTAGCAAATATAAATTTTTATTTTTGTGGAAAAATACATATTCAAGATTTTTTACTGAAAGCACGTTCTTTTTACAATTTTAAATAAAAAACGTGTTTCTGCGGTCTTGAAGAGAACACACATTTTTACAATTTTTGAATTGATATTTTTGTGCGAAAATACATTTTTGAATT